CGAAGTTCATGTAAGCATCCTAGGTACGACACAAATCAAGAAACTCATCATCAGGAAAACTAGAACGGGTCGGCCTTAGGGGGGCAGCTTCGACCCAGAACTTTTCCAAAGACCCTCTCATACTAATAGCTTCTTTGAAATGTCGTGAAGATAGTGTCTATGTGGATGGAGAAATAAATGGTAAAAAGCATACGTTGTTGGTGGATACTGGAGCGACAAGAACCATTATTCGCCCGACAGTTATAAACAGCCGTAAGAAACTGTTACCAACGAGGTTGCGACTGCGGACCGCTACAGGTGAAAATGCCAACATTCACGGAGAAATCCAGATACAATTAGGAATTGGAGCAGAAAAGTTCGTCCATACTGTTATAGTTGCTGACATCGAAGAGGATGTTATATTAGGAATGGACGTAATGAATACGCATGGATTCCAATTGGATTTTAAGAATAAGGTAATCAAAGTTGGTAACGAGGAGGTATTTCTCCATCCACATGATGACAACACTATGCAAGCAGCCGTTAAAGAAGATACAGTCGTGCCTGCGAGAAGTGAAACGATAATAGTAGCGCGGCTACAGGGAATTGTGGACGAAGGAACACCTGTTATGATGGAGCCTTGGAATCATGACGACGAAGTTGGCCGTGGAATCATAATTGGAAAAGAATTAGTGACTTCGGCTAAAGAAATTCCTGTGAGACTTATTAATGTCAATGACTACCCAGTGACCATCAAGAAAGAGACAAAAGTAGGAACTTGTGTACCTGTCACATCCATAATCCGTCAGACGACAACGTCTGATAATTCCAACGATAAATTTGATCAAATGGTTGCGGTTGCTGGACAGTCTCTGAATCAGATTGAGAAAAGGAAATTAAGGGAATTTCTTCGGCAGTATCGTGATATTTTCGTACCGAAAGGAGGAAAGACGGGAAGAACTACCGTTGTTAAGCATAAAATTGATACTGGTAATGCTAAGCCAATTCGTCAAACAGCTCGACGATTACCACAGGCGAAAAGAGAGGAAGCTGAAACGATTGTTCAGGAAATGAAGAAAGACGGGGTGATAGAACCTTCTACGAGCCCATGGGTCTCTCCGGTGGTCCTGGTTAAGAAGAAAGACGGAACGACACAGGTTCTGTGTGGATTACCGTTTGCTGAACAACGTTACCAAGAAAGATAGTTATCCTCTGCCTCGGATCGATGACACATTAGACACATTGGCTGGAAGTAAATTATTTTCTACTTTGGATTTGAAGTCTGGATACTGGCAGGTAGAAATGGACCCGGTAGATAAAGAAAAGACAGCCTTCACCACAGGATCTGGATTATGGCAATTCAACGTTATGCCATTTGGACTTTGTAACGCTCCTGCGACATTTGAGAGGCTTATGGAAAATGTGTTGAGAGGGTTATCTTGGAAAACATGCCTAGTTTATCTAGACGACATAATCGTCTTGGGGGAGACATTTGAAGACCATCTGAAGAATTTAGAAAACGTTTTTAATCGACTTAAAGCTGCCCAATTGATGTTAAACCCCAAGAAGTGCCAGCTATTTCAAGGTAAAGTCAATTATCTGGGTCATATAGTCAGTAAAGAAGGAGTGGCTGTGGATAAGGGAAAAATTGATTCATTAAGGAATGGCCAAAACCAACTGATAAACATCAAGTGAGAAGTTTTCTTGGACTATGTACTTATTACCGGAGGTTTATTAAGAAGTTTGCAGATATCGCTAAACCATTAACGCGACTTACAGAGGAAGCAAGAGAATACCGCTGGGATGTAGACTGCCAAAATGCCTTTGAGACCTTAAAAAAGCATTTAATCACAGCACCAATTTTAGGGTATCCACTGCCAGAAGGAGAGTTCATCTTAGATACAGATGCAAGTAATGTGGGAATTGGAGGAGTGCTGTCTCAGATTCAGGGAGGACAGGAAAGAGTCCTTGGATATTTCAGTAAAGTTCTCTCAAAACCTGAGCGGAATTATTGCGTCACGAGAAGAGAACTTCTGGCAGTAGTGAAATCAGTAGAGCACTTCTATCAATACCTCTATGGAAGGAAGTTTTTAATCCGAACCGACCATGCCGCCCTTAAGTGGTTGATGCAGTTTAAGAATCCAGAGGGTCAGATAGCCAGGTGGATCGAACGACTCCAAGAATATGATTTTAAGATTGAGCACCGGGCCGGAGTTAGCCACCGAAACGCTGATTCTCTTTCCAGAAGGCCATGCCCAGCAGAGTGTTCTCACTGCAACAAAACGGAATCCAAGGAAGCAGCAGTGCTAAGAACGACGGTGGTCCACGACGACTGGACGCCTACCAAGATCAGGGAAGAACAGAGAGAGAGATCCAGTTATACAGAAAATCCGAAAATGGAAAGAAGAAAACCGTCGACCACCTTGGCAAGAAATATCGAACCTAGGCTCAATAGTTAAGACGTATTGGGCCCAGTGGGACTCATTTATCATGGAAGATGGCTTGCTCAAACGAGTCCTGGAAAATGATGACGGTTCAGAGAAGAGAAGACAGTTGGTGATTCCAAAGAGCAGAATAGTCGAAGTACTTCGTCAGTTACACGACAGTCCATCAGGAGGGCATTTTGGTGTGAAAAAGACCCTTCAGCGAATTCGGGAACGGTTTTATTGGATGAACAGTTCCGACGATGTAAAAGACTGGTGTAAGAAATGTACTATTTGTGCTACGAGTAACGGGCCTTATCGAAAAAGGAGAGCTCCTATGAGACAATATAATGTTGGAAGCCCGTTTGAAAGAATAGCTTTGGACATTGCTGGGCCATTTCCAGAAAGTGATAATGGAGGCAAGTACATGTTGGTAGTAATGGATTACTTCACTAAGTGGGTCGAGATTTACGCACTTCCAGACCAGAAGGCCGCCACCGTTGCAGATAAGTTGATCCAAGAATATATCAGCCGATTTGGAGTGCCTTTGGAGATCCATAGTGACCAAGGCAGGAACTTCGAAAGCGATTTATTCCAAGGAATATGTGATAGACTAGGTATGAAGAAAACAAGAACTACGGCTTATCATCCGCAATCGGATGGTATGGTAGAACGAATGAATAGAACAGTTGGCAAGTATTTGACAAAGATGGTATCCGATCATCAGCGAGACTGGGACCAATATCTTCCGTTCTTCACAATGGCCTACAGATCTGCTGTTAATGAATCAACAGGCCAGACACCAGCCAGAGTCCTATTCGGACGCGAGATGCGACTACCTTGTGATCTAGAGTTTGGGTGTCGACCTGGAGAAGATGTAGCAGGTGAAGATTATGTGATCGAATTACGAAGAAGAATGGACGATGTACACGAGTTGGTCCGTTCCCATCTCCAAATCGCTAGTGACCGAATGAAGAAACGGTACGATACACAAGCCGAAAAGGGGTGTTTTAAGAAGAACGATAAAGTCTGGCTTTATAACCCCAAAAGCGAAAAGGTTGTTCTCCCAAATTGCAGCAGTTTTGGGAAGGTCCATACCTCATTATGGAGAAGATCAATGATGTTATTTACCGAATAAGCAAGATTCCGAGAGGAAAGCCGATGATAGTACACCATAACCGGTTGGCGTCTTTCGAGGGTGACCACGACGTAGATGAAGAAGTGGAAGTAAACCAAGTCCAAGATGTGTCTGACCTCACGTTTGAGGAATTCATGGGTGCCTATGGAGGTACCGGTAAAGCAAGACATGGTGTTACCACTGAAGAAAGGCAAGATCTACTCGCGCTTCCCGATGACTACTCACTGGCCCTTACCATCCCGGCCAGTATCAAAGATGCACCAGGGTTGGCATCCGTCTTTCGAAGGAAGTTTGGTCGAGTTGCAGAACTTCAATGCCAAGTGCCAGCTCCTGGTAAAACCTTGAAACTTCAAGATGCATCACGTTACCTTTTCTACCTGGTAACAAAAGACACTGCCCGTGACCAACCTACCTACCGAGATGTATGGGAAGCCTTACTTCAGTTGAGAGAGCACGTACTAGAATCCGACGTGCAAAAGTTAGCCATGCCAAAGTTGGAGTGCCGCCAATTAGATTGGAGGGTTATACGAAACATGGTGGAGGAAATCTTTAAAGACACCGAAGTCCAGGTGTTAGTCTGTTGCAATCCGCATAGTTACTGCTGCGGAGAGAAAACCGTCCCTTGTCATTTCTATACAACTGGAAGTTGTAAAAGAGGGTCCAGTTGCCGATATCAGCATGTCGTTCAAGTTCCAGTCCCGACAAAGTTCCAGGAGGAACCATCTTTTAAGAGGGGGGCAATGTTACGATTTTAAATGTTATGGCGTATAGAACTGTAAATATTTTATGACTAATTCTTTTTATTGATTCTCGTAATTTGTAGGTCAAAATATACCTGAGCTTAGCTACCAGTTGTTTACCAGAAATCTCTAGACACTAACACTAATGAGTCATCCACGCCTCGAGGTTGAAAAACGAGTCGAGCGCCTTCACCAAAATACGAGATTATTCAAGAAGTCCGCCGAATTCTCTGGATGACAACAGTTGTGTATATAAATGAAAGATTTTTATTTGGCAGGCAGTCATAAGAAGATCGGTACACGCGGTATTTAAATGTAACGAAACGTGAAATAAATACATTTGTAAAGTTATTTAATAAATTAGTAATTAGCTATCGTGAGTTTTAATAAATTAGATTATAGACAATAAATTAGAATAAAGACAAATAAATTAGAACTATATAAACTTCACACTATGATTATAAGAATGGGCTACAGAGCCTATAAAAACGTCATATTGTTTTAAAAGTAAATATTCCGTTCAGAAAAGCGTTAGAAATTGTAAACAAGAATTGACAATATTACTAAGTCACGTCTAATCGACGCGAATTCCCTTTCGTGATAATAAATATATGTTTTAGTTATTTAATAAAAAATGTTTTTTTAAAACCACAATACAATATATCTAGGAAGACATTACATACAGTCGTCAATGCGAGGAGTTAGAGGAGTATTACTTACCTAAATGCGGCGAGTACATGTCCAAATACTCTTCTGTCTTTTACATAGTCAGGATCTATTAACACAACGCCATCTATAGGATCAACGCATGATATGTGGTCGACGAAATCTCTTTTACCTAAATATACTGTAATCTTTCCATTCGGGGAACTCTTCTTGAACACCCTGCAAAAAAAAACAAAAATTAAAGTATGCACCAACTGATCAGTGTTTAAATAACGTTAAGTCACACTATGCAGACATGAGAGCAAAGGCATAGGCACAAAATATTGCTTGTCAAAATGTTCAATGTGTTTTAAATGTAATCATTTTTTTCGAATTATTACAGAGGGCCAAAAGTCCCTGAAAACTTCTATAATGTATATTTTAATAAGTTATAGGGTTGAAAAGAGAAGAGAAAATTTAGTGTGACTTTTAATTTCAAATATCTCATTCAAAAGTAACTTTTTGGATATTCTAAGGGACTTTTGGCCATCATCGGTAATAATGCAATATTTCATTCTGTGTTTAAATTTTTTAAAATTCTTATTAGTTTTCTCAGGATTCGGAAAAAATCAATACATTTAAAACTCATTGAATATTTTGGCAGGCGACATTTTGCGCCTATGCACTTAAAGATGACGGGTGATCAGGACGGTTTGTTAACTCTGTCTAGAGAAAATAAAAAAAATATATAATGAAGTGTTAAATCGTGTATAGTAGGTATAATGTACACAAAATATGCCTTTCGTTTATCACAAAGTTGTGCTGAGTTGGGTAAAAGGGAACGGAAATAAAATCATATGTTAGAAAAATATTATAAAATTGAAGTGAGTCTGATAAAAAAATTTAATCCTTCATCATTATCCTTGCTTTTATCCCTAGACAGGATCTTCCTAATTAGGGCAGCCCTGATTAAATTTCTCCATAAGTTTGGTGGAGAATATTAGTGGAGCATCATTATTTAACCCATTTATGCCCAGAGGGTCGATAACGACCCATGACACTTGGTCCTTCACGGCGAGTTGAAATGTGTAACTGGATATCTTTGTTTGTTTTACTCTTTAAAAGTACATAGTGTCTTTATTGATTTGTATAGGCTAAACATTTGTGAGAGTAACTTGTGAATCGATAAGTAAATTTAACTTTTGTTCATTTTTGAAAGCTGAACATGTACACAAAACATTATTGGTAAGTTTTTATTTATAGATTATGATAATATTTTTTATAGTGTATACGAATTATACTATTCTTTAGGTATATTATAAATTTTACATGATACTATAACAACAAGATATGCTCACTTGCTGTAATAATTTTAATTGACTTTGCGCATCTCGTCATAGCGAGACAAAGCCAGGGGACTTGTATATGTATCATATTTTAACGATGCATCATAAGGCAACGTTGTTCCTTTACTGTAATGAACAACGAACAACTTCAAAACTGAAACTGTTAAAGGTAAGTATACCTCGATGCCATATCTTGCACTAAGAAGTCATAACTAGTTACTTTCTGTGAAAACGTGTTTTGAAAATTAATAAGTAATTTGTAAAATTAATTAAAGAAATTTATGAATCTACAATTTAATTGTGTGTATTACAAACAAAATAAATATTGCTACAAAACATAAATTAAATATAAAAAGCCGGCAAAATGTAAAGAATTTGACCATAAAGGAAAAGCGGGTCAAACTTGAGACTTTATGAATATCATGTATCTATTTTAAAATCTTTGTGATTTTTCTTTTGCGGTATTGTAATTATCTTTAATATTTTGATTTAGAATTCTTATTTTAAAATACATTTTACATACAAAAAAAAGTAATTTTACATCTTCGCTAACATTTACATATTTTCCAGCTTCTATTAAGTTTTTTAAATATTTTATTTTATATTCAATGTGTCGCCATTATAACTACGAAAAATATGTTCCATTTCACTACATACTACATACATCCAAAGTAACTTTTTTTAAAGACCTATCAAAAATAAAGTATTACTTCAAGTTCTATTAAAATTGGAATTAGTATATATTATTATCTATAGAAACATTTATTATTATCCATAGAAACATTTGCTCTGCTGTTATTAATATTAATATATTAATTCTCTGCTGTTATTAATATTAATTATTTTTCTTTATATAACTAGAATTGCATCAAATGAAAAATTTAAATTTAATTTTAAAGTGTAACTGCTGTCATCAATTTTGACAATTTGGCATTTTAGCAAGTTGTCTCAGGCTTGCGTCACAAGAACATGCCCGTTGACTTATCTTGTTTTGTTATAGTATCATGTAAATTTTATTGGATTATTTGATATTTTTAGTATAAAAAATGGAATTAAAACTGTTTGGGTCGCTAACGAACCCTTGGCACATGCCACATCATTTACGAAAATTATTTTTTAGGAAGAAACCTCTTACTACAGCAGAATTATTGGATGAAATTGAGCGATTGGATGAATAAGATATTTTACCATCCAATATATACATCTCACCACCCGATACTGATAGTGTCGATACTGATGAGGACTCGGTATGAAGATTGTAATGATCCAGATAGGCTAAGTCGACGTCAGTTGCAGGCAACAGCCGAAATAGATATTGCAGAGCCTATTCAAAGTGAATCTGAAGGGAAAGAGATCATAGAAGAAGCGAAAGCTAACGACAAAGGAAAAAAAAGAAAAAAGGGGTCAAAAAAAGTAAAGAGAATTTGGAGCAAAATTACCAGTAACTTCAAAGTAAAAAATAAAACTGAAAAATCAGATTTTGCTACAACTTATTTACCTTCCGTATCATTATCGTCAGAGAGTCATCCAGTTGATTTTTTTGAACTCTTTTTATCACCATCCATTGTCGAAGATATCGTTAAACATACATGCACATCAAAATAATGCTAGGCTGGAACTGGGGACAAATGAAATACAGGGTTACGCAATTTAACTGTTATCAACATCACATCGATATATCTGGCAACTCGATAATGACAGCGTCAAAGTTGGCTTGATAACACTTCAATATATTGTTTATAAGCCGTCAAAAGCATTTGCATTTAAGTTTTATACATACAACAAAAGTTATTCGCAATGGAATTTAAACGTAATAGTGTGGTTGCGTTATATTTGGCTGGAAATCACACCCAGCTATTGTTCTTCAGCTCAAACACCTCAAAGTGAATAAAATGTTTGTGTACCGCACCATAACTCGTTATAATGATACTGGTAGCATTGCCAAACGCTATGGTGGAGGACGACTAACACAGCAACATCACCTGAAATGGTTCGGAAAGGCTCGACTTGAGCGAAATCCACGTCGTAGTAGTAATCAAATGGCCAAGGAACTGAAAATATCCCAGCGAAACATGCGACGAATATTGAAAAAGGAGCTCAAGGTCAAGCCTTACAAGTTCGGTTGTAGACCATGAACGTTCCAACAAGACTCGGCACCGTCTCATAAAGCTAGTGTGAACCAAGAATGGTTAAAAAACCATGTTCCACACTTCATTTCATCCACACAATGGCTTTTGAATTCGATGGACTATTCCATCTGGTCCATTTTGGAGAGCAAGGTGAGGACTAAAAAATATGCCAGTATGGATGCGCTGAAGAAAGCAATTATACGTGAATGGGCCAAAATACCGGAAGATCACATTCGTGCAGCTTGCAACTCGTTTTTTGATCGTTTGAAGGCCATAGTCAAGGCAAAAGGTGGCCACATCGAGTTAAAGTGAGTGGATTCTGAAATTTGGATTATTTTCACAAATGTTTGTCATTTGGATCAATAAAAAATAATTTCACACAAAAAATTATGGTCGTTTGAATAGGTAACAGCCCAATTGCGTAACCCTGTATACACATTTCTAGGCATTCTTTACTTGAGTGGATATGTACCTGTCCCACGAAGAAGAATGTTTTGGGAAACGATGGAAGATACACATAATAATCTAGTTGCAAACTCTATACATCGAAATTGTTTTGAAGACATTTTTGAGGTAAATTCATGTAGCCAACAATAACAATCTATCTATAAACGACAAAATGGGAAAACTAAGACCTTTTATGGATATGGTTAATGACAATTTTGTCAGATATGCTCCTATACCACCCAATTTCTCCATTAACAAACCTATGAATCCCTATTTTGGCAGGCACGGTTGTAAGCAATATATAAAAGGAAAGCCAATTCGCTTTGGTTACAAAGCCTGAGTTTTAGCTACATTTAGTGGATATTGCGTGAATTTGGATATGTATCAAGGAAAAAAAAGAAAGAACGGTAAAAACTGATGACAATAACAAACATTGCGTTGGAGAGTCTGTTGTACTTGAGAATTTTAAAGATCTACGATTTTCTTTATTTTTTGCAGCTATTTCAACAGCGTAAAGTTAATGAAAAAGTTACAAGAGATGAATTTTGGAGCAACAGGTACTGTTAGACGGGATAGAATGGAAAACTGCCATTCACAGCAAAAAATTAGAGAGCATACGAGAGCTCCTAACATAGGATAAAAAAATAAAAGCAGGCTAAGACCCAAATAGGGTTGTCGAGCCAGTGATGATGATGATATCGGGTAATAAATCAGGTGACAGCTAGTATGATAAAGGAATATATTGCAGACAAAGTTAACATAATCCATGCTACCTTGGTAGGGCATGTAATACGGATGGAATAAACTGATCTAGCTAGAACAACACAGCTTGACAGAACCATTGGTCAGAGAAGAGGAAGACTACTAGATTGTAATTAGATCAATCAGAAACATTTGACAATGTAAACCACCTATTGCTTTAAAAAAACTGGAAGCGTTATTGAAATATGTTTTTTTTTGCAGAACGTCCAAAATTTACTCACCAATACATTGTTGAAACGTAGACCAACCAAATGACATACACTTTTATTGTTAAGAGTTAAAAATAGAAGTGATGCCAATAGATTTTTTTCATTACTTCATTAAATATTGTTATTCGTTTAACACTCTTTAAAGAAAACGTTCTCAATCTACAGTTTGATATTTATCGCACTCTCTTTAAGTTTTCACTGCACATGTTTGAAGTTCGAATATTCTTTATCAAATATCTAGTTGGGAATAGACAACCAATTGTAAAACAAAATTTTTATTTCTTGAAGTTTCTTGGAATAAATTCTTTTAATTATTATCTTGAATTTATATTATGAAAAATTATTTTTGAACTAACTATTATTACATTTGAATCATCTATTAATAATAACAGATCATTCAAAAATTGTACTTTAAAAAACGCGTTGTTACTGCGGATTAGCACATGTATTTGGTGACTGAAAGTTTGTACATAAAATTAAAAATTATTTAACAGTTCAATGTCACGATTCATGTATGTATTACAGTCCCAAAAGAGTGATTATTTGTTGATCTAAGGGAATAAACCGGGTGGACCAAGAAAAATTCATATATATTAGAAAATTTTATATGTTTCTGCGTAAAAAGTACGACGAAAAGAAAAATGTGTTCTATTAAAAAGCAGATTCCAACTGTTCTACAAAGGAACATCCTCATTCATAATGCTATATCGAATATATTAATATCTGTCATCTTCTTTCTATGACATCCCATTAACAGAGGTTGCGACCACATTTCTAAAAGTTTCTCTGTTCTTAGCAACATGGAATACTTCTCCTACATCCATGTTTTTTATCGTGTAAGCCATAATCTAGTTGATTTTTAAAGATTGCTCCCCTGTTGTGTAACTTGGCATCTTTCAGTCTTTTCTAACGCTATATTAAAGAGAATACACGCCAGCGCATTTTCCTGTCGTAACCCTGCTTATGTTCCAAAGCCTTGTGACAGATCGCCTTGTATTTATTTGAAGTACTCAACCCATCTGCTTTGTACTGTGTCACTGTTACTGTCCATTTTTGTCCCTACAAATCCTCAGCCGTGGTTTAAATTCTTTTCTTGTCTTGTTTAGGATGTTATAAAACTTTCTAGTTTCATCTAGTCTCTTTAGTAATTGCAGCTCTTGCATAACCTAGTTTCCCAAGTTTTTTCTTCGATGCGCGCGTATTTCCTCCTTCCTGAGTTCTTTGTATGTTTGCTCCTTATCCCGTGTTCTTCTTGTTGCATAAGTCTATATGCATAGTTTTTTCTTGTAGTCATATATTGACATTCATAATAGAACCAACCATTGAGTAGAGTGGGTTCTTCTGGTTCTAGGACGTCATATACCGCTTCCTTAATTGTTCTTCTACGTATCTTATCTCATTGCTCGCTAGCTGTTAAATACACGTTTATTGTGATTTCATTTTCAAGGCAATTTTGTAATCCATGTTTGTTAGTCCCGAATATTTCGCACTTTTCCCATTTACTCTACTCTGCATGATGACCTGCAATATAGCAATATCCGATCTTGGGTACTTCTACTGTTCATATAAATTTTTTTTTCCCGACCCATTCTTAGGAGTACTTCTACATTAGGAATTCTTGATTTTCTATGGAATGCTCAGCATTCTCTAGTATAATCCAAAGTTCAAAGACTTCGAACTATTAGCGCCTTTAACGTCCACGTGTCTACCCAGTACAACAGTAGTTGGGACCAGACGTAATATTCAACAAACCTCAGTCTCAGTGCAGTATTCAGATTTCTGTCACGTAATAATAGCCCGAATTTTAAGAACGCTGCCCTTGATATTTCACTTCGTACCCTGATAATATCAGTATAAATCCAAATTCAGTATATCTTCTTCTTCTTAACATGCCATACACCAAAGTGCGTAGGCGACTATCTCATTACTAGAATTCTGTTCTTGGCGGCGTGACACAGCTCACCTGTATTGTATATTCCTGTCCATTCTTTTATATTCCTTAACCAGGATAATTTTTTGCGGCCGGCTTCTTTCCTACCTTCGATCTTCCCTTGTAGGATAAACTGTGGTATTTCATATTTTTCTCCTCTCAATATGTGCCCAAGGTAACCAATCTTGCGTTTTTTAATTAATTCAAAGAGTTCTCTTTCCACGCCGGCTCTATTAAGGACGTCATCGTTTCGAACTCTATCCACCCAAGGTATGCGCATCATTCTTTGCTATGACCACATTTCAAATGCTTCAAGTTTGTTGATAGATGTTTTTTTCAAAGTCCACGTTTCCATGCCATAAAGCAAGATGGACCATATGTAGCACTTGACCATCCTGTAGCGTATTTCGAAGTTTAGGTGTTGATTACATAGGAGCGGTCTGAATTTCACAAAAGCTTGTCTTGCCATTTGTATTCGGGTTTTTATCTCGTGTTGTGGATCCGATTGGTCATTGATTGTGGTGCCAAGGTATTTAAAAGTTTTCACGCGATTTATACGATTGTCACCTATGCATATTATCGGGTTATCTGGGTTTTCTGCTAGTGACCATATATTTCGTTTTCAAAATGTTGATTTTGAGGCTATATTTTTTACCTATGCTATTCACCCTATCAAGTAATAACTGCTGATCTTCCAAATTATCGGTTATAATCACTGTGTCGTCCGCATAGCGTAGGTTGCTAATTGGTATGCCGTTCACCTTAATGCCTAATTCCGTATCTTCTAATGCTTCCGCAAATATATTTTCAACATAGAAATTAAAAAGCATCGGAGAGAGTATGCAGCCTTGGCGGACACCCTTCCGGATTTCAAATTCATCCGTATATTGGTCTTGATCAATCCTCACCTTTGCCATTTGGTTCCAGTATAGATTCTAAATAATTCTGATCTCCTTCTGGTCAATGTTGGCCCTATGTAGTAGTTCCATCATGATGTCATGTTTAACATTGTCAAATGCCTTCTCGTAGTCGATGAAGGTGAGGTAGACCTCTTTTCGTTGATCTAAGCAGTTTTGTATTAAGGTGTTCAAACATAAAATTGCCTCTCTTGTTCCTAGTCCTCCCTTAAAACCGAATTGTGTTGACCCGCTAAGTTCTTCTAGTATCTTGTACATTCTTGAGTGTAATATCCTAAGGAAGAGTTTCAACAAGTGACTCATTAAACTGATTAAATTCAGTATATACATATGCAAAATCATTAAGATTTATGCCCTGACATCAAATTACGAAGATGAGGGTGTAGTACAATTATATCAAGAAATAAAGAATGCTAACAAATTATACAAAACTTAGTACAAAGTACTTGGTAAATACATAAGCAATATATTCTTTACAAAAAAAACCTGGTCCTGGCATGCTGGCATGGTCCAAACGCGATAGTAAGGAATAAAATAATTTTACATATTATGCAATTAAAAGAACATCGTAAACACGATAAACAGTTAGTGATTAAAGAATGCTAAGAACATTCATAAGAGTGAGAATTACCATTAAAGTAAAGTCCCAAAACTAGCTTGATGAACCAAAAAGAAACACAACATTGATTAAAAAGAGACAACAGCTCGTACAAAACTGATCCCAACCGAAATCAACAAAAAAATAAAGTCCAGATAAGGTATAAGGAAGTATTAAATAACTAAGATAAATGAAATGCTGTAAGAGAATAAAGGTCCACTACTTGTTCCAAGCTAGCGCCATCAATTTACAAGTTACATCATTGTTCTTCTTCTTTTTATGCAGACGTGACTGTCTATTTTCAATGTTCCTCCAGTATTTGTTGTTATTCGGATTATATGAGCGTTCCATTCTACTCTTCTATTTCTTACCCAGCCCTTGATGTGTTCCACCTTGCATCTCTGTCGTAATCTGTTCTTCTAGTTCTGCGTTGAGATCGTCATATAAAATTTTTTTGCCCTTGTGTTGAATCTGTGGACTAGTTTTTGTAGACTATCTTCATCTTCGCTAATCAATATTGCGTCGTCTGCATAATAAACTATTTTGATTTCTTTGGTATCCATTCTGTACACTCTTCATTTGTTGACACTTTTGATAACTTGGAATTGAAAGCATATGGCTCAATGAGTCCCCTGTCATATTCCGTTGCCTATGTCTATAGATTCCGTAAGTTATCCCTGTATTCTGACTTCCACCTTGATGTTTTGGTAGATGTCTTCAATAATTTTCTGCTTTTTTAACTTCTCTTACAATATACAAAAGATGAATTATACCTTTGAGACTTTGTTGCTGTTAAGTGTTCGGTAATGATTGTTTAAAAATATTAAGTTTATTTGGTATCCCATATTTACCTCCTCAACCTTTCAAGCGTTTTTTGAACTTTCTAGATGTTTACATTAATTTTTTCGTTTATAGTTATTTCTGTTGTTTCTGGTGCTAACGTCATGTGTTTTCCCTCTGTATACATTCTTCTTAGGGTGCCTGTCCATTCCGAACGTTGGTGATCATTCTAGCTATGATGAATTTGTTGGTTGCTATACGAAAGGTCCTTCTATACCATGCTCTCAGGTTAGCAAGACAGGATATTCTTCTTCGTCCTTTTTCCTTCAATTTTACCTTGCAAAATGCATTGAAGTAGCTCGTATCTGCCTTGATTTCTCATTATATGTACCAAGTACTGCAGCTTACGGTGTTAACCCTTTTTACCCAGCTTACCCTTCACGATGTTGACCAAATCCGAAGTTGTGTTATCCTCCGCAATACTTCTTCATTGGTGAATTTGTTTGTCATAGGGTGAGGTCATGACCCTTTTAACACAGAGCTCATAGTCAAGAATGGCTGTCCGATGCGACATTTAATCTCTTGGGTATTGTCCCAGGACTCATTGATTATAGTTCCCAAGTAGTTGTAGTTGTCTGTATACATAGACTACGAATTCCTTCATCCGCTTTTTTAGCCTCGTATAAAGTGCCATATTTTATAGATATATCATAGATCTTTGTCTTCTGTTTTTTTTTTACGAGAAAAAAAATATTTTGTTAAGTAGCTTAATTGTCTTAAGGTCACGATGTACATTAAAAAATTGTGTTTATAAATATATGAGTAAACAAAAAATTATGAATTTAAGAGAAAATAATTTTAATGTAACCAACCTGGTGGCTTGTCGTTTGCCTCCATCGTCCATATCTGGACTAGAGCCGGACGGAGCTAGCCTCGTGCTTTGTGGGTCCGAAGTGGAAAGCAAAGGCACCTTGTGCCCCTCCAGTCTGTTAAAGTGAACAGCGTGATCCTCTTAAAGTACTTGGTCTCCTGAAATAAAAAAGAACTATATCAGTTTTACCAGTTTCGAACTAACTTAATATTCGCAACATACGAGGTCTGGCTATTAAATAACGAGACTGCGCGCGCAGAAGGCGTCCTAGAGGGGTAGGGTGGGAAACGAATGCAGCGTTGGATAGCTGGAAGTATCTACTCTTTCAGTGCGAAAACAAGTTTTTGTCGCTGTAGTAGTATTTTTTCTGTAGAGGTTAAAAACGAACGTGTTTTTTTTTTGTGCCGATAACAATGTGTGACGAAAAACACGAGCAACGGATCAATGTGAAATTTCTCGTCAAATTAAAAAAAACTCCGACTGAGTGCTATAAGTTGTTGAAAGAGGCCTATGGTGAGAATTCTCTATCTCGTGCGCGTGTTTTCGAATGGTATAAAAGGTTTTCTGAAGGTCGAGAGAGCACCGATAATGACCAACGTCCAAGTCGACCTGTCTCTGTTTCAACTCCGCAAATAGTGACCAAAATAAATGAAATTGTGCGCGTAGATCGTCGTATGAGTATTCGGATGATTGCTGAGACTGTAAACGCCAATAAAGAAACTGTCAGAAAAATTTTACATGACGAATTAAACATGAAGAAAGTCTGTGCGAAGTTGGTCCCAAAAAAATTGACCCTTGACCAAAAGCTCGTCCGTCAACAGATCTGCTCAGATTTTCTTCAGCGGTTAGATGAAGAGCCTGGATTGATGGAGAACATCATCACTTGCGATGAAACCTGGATATTCCAATACAATGTTGAAACTAAGCGGCAATCCATGCACTGGAAAACTCCTGCATCGCCGAGAATGAAAAAAGCAAGGATGTCGAAATCAAAATTTAAAGCCATGCTAATCGTTTTTTTTTCGACATCAACGACATCGTGATGACTGGATGGGTTCCAGAGGGTCAAACTGTAAACCAAACTTACTATTTGAAAGTTTTGGCAACGCTCCGAGAGCGAGTGCGTAAGAAACGGCCTGAGTTGTGGAAAAACAAATCGTGGATCTTGCACCTGCCCATAACGCGCTGTCTGTGAAGCGTTATTTAGCCGCTAGAGGCACTCCAGTACTCGAACACGCGCCGTACTCGCCTGATTTAGCACCCTGTGACTTTTTCCTGTTTCCGAAGATCAAGTCTGCCTTAAAAGGAATCCGGTTCGAGTCGATGGAAGAGGTGAAGCGAAAATCGTCGGAGCTCCTAAATGCTCTTACAAAAGAAGACTTCCAGCATTGCTTTGACCAATGGAAAAAACGAATGGAACTGTGTGTGGATATTGAAGGGAAATATATTGAAGGAGAGCATTCGATTGTAGAATAATTTTTAAAATAAAACTCTTTTTCATAATCAGTCTCGTTATTTAATAGCCAGACCTCGTAGTCTGCTATATCTTGTCAATTGTATATCTTGGAATTAAGTTTAAGCGGTCACATGCTGTCTTGATTGACTAATAAAAATATGAAATAACTTTTATTGTTATGTTAATAAAAATAAAGTTAATAATTGTCCATATAACATGCCAGTTAAAAGATATATTTAGCAGGTTTTCACCTGTCTCAAAACATACGGACTACAAGCCCTTTCCCATACCAGTTGACCCACCTATAGACTAGGCGGGATCTGTAGAAATTCAGACCATGGACATTTTCCGTAGGAAGCTATTTTTTTGCTGGAATCCCTTCAGGATGTGTCCAATATCGATAATCACGATATGCGCCAGTCGCAAACCCTGTGCTAAATTTTTTATTTAACAAAATCTGAAAACAATTGAAAATTTCTCATTTTTTTGCTCCCATTTTCGTTTATAATTCGGAAAATATTGATCCTAGAGAAAAAGTTATAAGAAGTTAAAAGTTTCGTTATTCAATTTTACATAATATTTCGTTAGCTAGAAATTGAAAATTTATTATTTATTGTTGAAAAAAATAGCAATAATTGAAAAAAAAGTACAAAAAAAATGTTTAAAACTTTAAAAAAATTTCTAGGCTCTCTTAGTGAACTGATTTGAATTTTACAAAAAGCGTTTGGAAGTTTGAGACTTTTTTATATGTAAAAAAATTTGCAACTGTCTGAGGGCCTTATTTAGAGCCTATATTAAATTTGAAAATTTTCGATTTTTTTTCAGTAGTCTGGATTGCAAAATTATTATTAAATAGTTTATTTACGGTTATACCAATTACAATAATTACAATCATTAAATAAATCATAACATATTAATAGTTTTAGAATTGAATAATAATTACATACAATTTACACAAGACAAATAAATAGAATAAATACCTAAATGGCACTTTACAGTGACAGCCTACATTGTATTTTAAAAAGATTTTTTTAGCTTTTTTCGAAAACTATTCAGAGAGCTAGAAAAAAAGTCTACATCTAAACCAATTCCAGATTGACACATTCGTCTTATAGGTCTATTTAGACAATAGTTTGTTTGTTGGAATTCTAAGTGAAAAACGTCCTGGGATCTTGTGCACCTTTGAGGAACCCTAAGACCTATTCTCTGCAAAATTTGAGGCGAATCTATCATTCCGTTTACAATCTTGAACAGAAAAACCAAATCTAGCATTAAACGACGATTTTCTAATGTTGGTATATTAAGTAATTTTAAAATGTCACAATACACTATATCTTCTGAAGAAATTCCTAATTTATAGAAAACAAAGCGCAAAAATTTTTTCTGAACTTTCTCAATGCTTACAATATGACATTTATATAAAGGAGACCAAATAGTGCTGGAATATTCCAGAACTGATCTAACCATAGAACAATACACACTTTTAAAACAATCTAGGTTATTGAATTCTGACGAGGTTCTTTTCAAAAATCCAAGTAATTTAAAAGCTTTATTACAAATAAAATTATAGTGATTTTTGAAACATAAAGTGGGATCAAAAAATACACCTAAATCTTTGAAAGTGTTTGTTGGTTCCAGAAATATATTATTTATATAGTAATTAAAACAGATAGGTTGTGAGTTTCTAAAAAAGCGCATTATTTTACATTTATCGATATTAAGTGAAAGGTCATTCTTTGTACACCATTTTGAGAAATTGTTTACATCTTTTTGCATTTTTACACAGTCTCTAACATCCTTAATAATTCTAAAAATTTTCAAATCATCAGCATACAACAAAATAACACAATTTTCAAAGATTTCTAAAATGTCATTTATAAAACAAATAAAAAGAATAGTCGATAAATGACCACCTTGTGGGACGCCAGACCTAACCAAAATCTCTTCAGAAAGACAGTTCTTGACTTTGACAACCTGAAGCCTGTCTGTCAGGTAGCTCTCCAACCACTCAAGCAGGGATCCATGAATTCCTAGTACCTCTAGTTTTTTTTATAAGAATCTTGATGTTAACACGATCGAATGCCTTTGAGAAGTCGGTATAGATCACATCGACCTGAGCTCCCTTCCCAAAGGCATCCAAAATGAATTCTTCTAGGATCACTAGATTGGTGGTCGTAGACCTACCCGGCATAAAGCCGTGTTGTTCAGGAATAATTAAACTTTTTATTGGAAAAAATATTTTTGAAGCAATAATTGACTCAAAAATCTTTGCAAAAATAGAAATTTTGGAAATGGGTCTGTCTGTAATATTCTATACATGTTTTACTACCATTCTTAAAAATAGGAAAAATATAACTTTTTTTCCACTCTTCTGGGAAAGTGCCAGTACTTAATGAAAAACGAAAAATTTTTAGTAATACAGGAGACAGAACAAAACGACATTTATGTACAAAATAAGGTGAAATTTCATCAGGGCCACTACTAAGTTTTAGATTTAATTTTTCTAACTTATTAAAAACATCTATTAGACTAAAATCACAGCTGCTTAAATTAATTGTTTTATTATAATCAAAGCTTGGAATATCACAGTTATTGTTATCTACATATGACTTAGAGAAATGCTGTTTAAAAAAATTTGAAATTTCTGATGGATTGTTTGACTCATTGTTTTCATAGGTCATTTTGTTTGGTAAGTCATAATGTTTATTTTTACTGTGTACATAACTCCAGAATTCTTTGGAATTAGTCATATTTTGTTCCAAAGTTTTTATGGTTTGACTTTTACATTGCTCAGCTAAGACTTTACATTCACATTATGCAAAACCTATCCGGCCGATCTTAACAAAATTTAGCACACGTTTTAAACATATTAAAAAGTTTTTCTAGGCGGAATATGGAACTTGTAAGTCAAGTTTAGAAAGTCGAAAACATTTAAAGGATTAACTTCATTTTTTTGTACTTTTTTTCCAATTATTGCTATTTTTTCAACAATAAACATTAAATTTTCAATTTCTAGCGAACAAAATATTGTGTAAAATTAAATAACGAAACATTTAACTTCGTATAATTTTTTCTCTAGGATCAATATTTTCCGAATTATAAACGAAAATAAGAGCAAAAAACCCAGGGCACATCCTGAAGGGATTCCAGCAAAAAAATAGCTTCCTATGGAAAATGTCCAATCCAAAACAGATCCCGCCTAGACTACTATGGAATTTGCAGTTTAAGTACGAATTATACTTTGCATGTTTTTATAATATTAATATTTATAAAAAACATTACCTTTATGGCTTTTTATTTATTTTCAACAATAAAAAAAAATGTCACTAAACCCTAGCTAAGCATTTACTTATGTCACCATACGTTGATTTTTTTATAATTACGTTAAATCCAGAGGTACAAATCAAACAATAATATTGTCAGTTAAGAGCGTAGGCGCAAAATTTCGGACCAATGCTTTTTAAGTGCATTCATTTTTTTCGAATCCTGAGAAAAATAATAAATATTTTTGAAAAATTTAAACGCAGAATGAAAGACTACATTATTACCGAGGGCCGACAGTCCCTTAGAATACACAAAAGTTTTTTTGAATGAGATATTTCCATCTCATCCAAAAAATTAGGATGAGATGGGAATCAACGAAAAAAGAAGTAATAGGGAGAAATGGTAGTATCAAGAAGATAAATAAAAATGTGACAACGA